ACTGCTGTAAGTCAGGGCACGCCTAATTCGGGGCTAACTCACAAAGAGTGTTTGCAAAACCCTTTCTTGCAATGTGAGCAATTTGTTTTTAGTAGAGAATCTGTTTTTTATCAAATGAACCGCCTAAACTTTTCTAACACTTGGGAGAGATTTTAAAAGGTCGCTCATCAAAGATGGGGGCTGTTCCGCAGAACCGCAAATGTTACCCAACATGAGCGGAATTCCATCGATTCAAGATACATTACTAAATCAAGTCATAGATAGATACGTGAGACACTATATAAAGAACAGCCACACCTTGCCTTGACGACCTTGACACGAACCAAGAGGGTCCGAAGACACACCCCGGGATTGAATAAAGCCCTTTCCTTCCTCTTATTTATGCCAAGAATTAAGTGATATATTTTAGTCTCGCTGACTTTTGAGCTCCAATTTGTTCTGCGTTGATATTTTAAAGTGCGTGTGACTCGGAGTCGCGCGCGGCAAGCACAAAATTGCATGGACATAGAATAGCGATTGAATATCGTTTCACTAATCAACTGAAGCTAAGTAAATCACTGACAAATAAAAAATCTAAAATATATTTTCAGTGCAAGAGAAAATCAAAATTCTTTGAATCCTTGCCAAACTTTTGGGATTACTAAGTGACCTTTCTAGAAATAAACACAAACGATTGATGCGTGCGATATAGCTGTGTTACGGATCATTAGAAATCTCTCACGGGGTCAACAGTGTAAAGCGTTACTCAATTTGTAAAAATAGGTACCAACTTTATTATACACAAAATTAAAATTAATATGTACATATAGCTTTGGACATTTTTGAAGTGAATTCTTCGTACAAAATACAAAAATTTAATGAAAAGTATTGTTAGATTTTTGAGTTGAGTAACATTTTTTTACGGAACATCTTTAGATTCGGATGTTCTTGTCACGGTTTTATGAGCGCATAATTTCACAAAGCAACACTTATTCAAACTTTTTGACTTTTGTACATTATATTACACATAAATCAGCTTATTGAGTACAGCTGAATTCTTTGAATTTTTACAGTATTCTAAGCGAACCCGCGCTTGAACTATTTATATAAATCGTGTATGCGGTCATAAAAGACATCAAGAATCCTAAAGATGTTGAAAGACGCAAGCAAAGAATTTTTGTACTTTGTGAAAGTCTTCGTAGATGGATATCATTTCCGAGCTTTGCCTTCAACATGCGGAAACAGCCAAAGTAGTCTTGAGATCGCTGTAGGAAACATTTGGTGTGAAGAATATCAAGAGGTCAAAACTTCCATATATAGAATTGCGAGTTCAATCTCCAAACTGCAGTGGAATTTGTGTCGGCGTCACTACCATAGTATTTCTATTCAGAATCCTCCTTTGTCTTTTTCCGCAGAATTGATTTTTTTAGTTACCAAGTCTTTTTACAGATATTATACAATCCAACTGTGATACTTAATCATCACACATAAACAGGCCACGGTCTCCCTTGAAGTGGGGTTTGTCTTTGGGTCTGTGGCATAGCTGCGCGCCCACTTCCCGGGAAGCTACGATTTAGCTGATGTGCATATGCAAGTTGCTGTCTTCGACGCTGAAGGAACATCGTCCTCAAATCTGGTAATTCTTGAAGGCGGTTAATATTCAACTCCACGATCAAGCGCGCCAAAGCAGATTCGTCCACTCTGTCCAAACTTTCAAAAAAATCTTGGCTTAGTGGAGGGATAGCGTCTTTACGAAATTCTGGCATCTGAAAAACATAATATCAAATATTTTAATTAACTAAGCATAAAATAAACAGAATTCTTAGTGCATTAGATATTGCAGCGTAGTTCTGAGTACAGAAATTTATAGGTCACTAGACAACAATAGTCATACCGAAGTTTTTTGGAAGTAAACTGGATATAAGGACCAAAAAATAGCTCAGAAAGTAAGTGTGATGTATACCTTAATGAAGCAAGCGACTTTCGATAGTTCGTTTGTAAAATCTCTTGGTAAAAGCAAAAATACGACTGCCAAATGTTTGATCTCTACGTTCTCTGAGTCATGAGATATAATATTTACGACTGTTATATAGCGGTTACAAACAGCCTTCTTTAAAACAAAAGGCGGCTTTGACATCCAATCAGAGACGTCCTTCGGCTTAAGCTCTGACGTTGAAAGTGACGTATATGAGTGCCCATGTGGAACGATATTCCTAGATACGTCAATATTGTGGGCTGTTGGCTGCATTCTCATTTCAAAACTGTGCTAGAAAATGTTTCTAGATGAATTGACCTTTCAAAAAAGCGAAGTAAATGCATTATTAAGTTTGTCATTCGTAGAAAAAATGCATGATCTTTTATATGTAGTTTGACGACGACGCCTTTCCGTGAGTCCTTTGCTCTGACAGATTAGCATCACACGTTCCTTTCGCGGCGTTACCTTAGTTACGATCGGTAGAGTGATTTGTAACGCGCCATATAACTTAGGAATGCAAAAACCACCCATACCACATTCCCACAGTCTGAAAGAGTGAAAAAAACTTTGCGATCAACATTTCTACTCGATTCTAGCTTTATTAGCTCATTTCTATAAATATATATGAGATCGATTTTTGACTTGAGGAAATTTATGTACACATTTTGGAAACCTTTGTACACTTTATAATTATTCATCTGCACATCTGTTGGCATTCTTTATTTTTTTGAGAATAACATGTGTTCTTCGGCTACGAGACAAATGCAAAATGGTATCAATTGTTTAAACTATAAAAGATCTTTTCAATGATAAAAGCACGCGCAAAAAACACATTCTTCAATTCTTGTCATTAAGAACATTACTCTATGTCTTTATTCATAGGTTCTCTATATTATTATATAAATTGAACGGAATTTCAGTGTTTCATTTCCGTCGGTAATCAGAATTAAACCTTTTGAAAGAACCACAAGTTTCAAAGCCGCAACAAAACATCTGTGCGTGCAAGATACTAGTATTAAACATACTTATATATAGACCTACACATGCTAATTTCTCTCTCGATATATATTATATATTTATATATAATCTAACTGCTCTTTCAGTCATGAATGCAATTATATTAGCATGATTTTAGTACATTTTGGCTCGCTTGGGTCTTTATTATCGTATATATGGTTAGTATAATTTAAAAGGTTTGACCTGCAAGACCTGATTACGGTCAGGATTACGGTGTGATTACGAAATCACCGATGAACGAAATCTTTACTGTCCCTCCCTTCTCACAACTACTTATCACGATCGAAAATTATGCAATGTGGATCTTTATATAACTCTGAAACTAACTTAAAGAATACGATCATATTGTCGTGCATTTATCAAATTAGAAAGAGATTTCCTAAAGATAATAGTACGTTGTAGAAGTTCATGTTATTCTTATTTTAAATGCTGTAAAACAGCAAATGAATGAAGACTATTTTCTAACTTGAAAGTCACATAAAAACAAAACTAAAACCTCAACAGCTAACATGGCGTACTTCAGAATTATTAATCAAATGAATCATTGGATTCAATCGGTAATGTGAAAATTGAGACTATATTTGCCGGCGATTTCTTTTATGAATACAAACTGAACACCATCTGTAGCAGTCAAATGTTCGTTAACTGGACTTTGAACAACCTTTTCTAAACTCGTCTCATTTTGCAACCGTTTTTCTCCAGCTTACCTTTATATATTGAAGAATATTACAAAGGGATCGTTTTCTTATTCCAACAAGGTATAATCTTGGATCTTTGTGCAGAGCTCTTGCGTATAACTTTGATTGAAGAGCAGAACTTCGACGCACTTATAATAGAGCAACTTCCTGTGTAGTGATAGTGAATGCTATGAAGACCGGAAGTGTCCTCACTTACCGACGTCATGCAGCAAGTGTTGCTATTTATAAACCATAGTGTAATTCACAAATTAAGATATTTCATAATAAATGATTACCAAATTCAGAATTCTCGATTGAAARCTCTTTAGTCGAGATATCTAAGGTCATTTTAGTAAACTAGTTTAAGTATTTATTAAAGTATACATCACAGCTATAGTACTAGTAGAAATTTCAACTTCCGATGAGTGTAATAAGTATTTGAAACCAGATACGCTACATGATTGAATGATCTTACGATGTTGCAATATTAGGCTATGTACACATTTGATCTTTATTTAATAAATTGACTCCTTTTACAAAACAATTCTTCGAAGAATTCTTGGTTAAACAAATTCAACTTTTGCATAGTTTTACAAAGTAAGAATTTTCCGCAATCTGACAAAGTGACAAAGTGACGCAATTTGTGGAATATTTAAAAAGAAAATGCGTTCCATAACAAAAGAGTTCCTTAGATGGAATTGAAAACATGATCTTAAACAAAGTATGTCTGTATTATTGTTAGAGTTCTGAGGTGTGTATATTTTAACGATAGATATATCTTGACCTTGAGACGAGAACACCGCGTTGGAAAGCATGCACCAATTGTTCTAGACTATTAAGGCCAAAGTCACTCAAGGAATCGATACGAAAACATCGTCGGAGCGCAGACCTGGGTGCCACATTAAAAGAATGTTACATTTAAGGAAGTTAATATTAATTTGTCTACTAAAAACGTGGACGGAGGCAACGGAAATGTTGGTGGAAAAAGGCTTGTAATTCGATCCTTATAAGTTAACGAATCAAAGCTCCGGGCAAAGCTATATTTCATAAGTGTTTTATGAATTTTATTTGCAGATTTTTGTATAGAAAGAAAAGAAAAGCTGAATAAATGGGAGAAAGACAGATTCGCAATACATGAAATTTTTCGCATTTTTTCGTATTTGGAATTTTTTCCCAAATGAAAGCCTCAGTGACTCCAATGTAGATTATGTAAACTATTCATGAGCTTAGACTTTGGGAATGACAGCTTCGACCCTTGTGGTAAGAAAACTAGTCATTTTAGTCTAGTCATGGCCATTGTGCCAATGCAGATGTTGTCGTGATAAGTTGAATTTCATCAAGTATTTTTGATTATTGTAAGGTAAAATATTCCCAAAGAATGCAAAAAACTAGGTGCGATTCGATGGCTCGATTTTTGAATTGTTTTGCACTGACGTCCGGTTAGGTATAGTGAAGTACTTTTTACAAACCTGCTGGTTTAAAAATCAAAATAGCAAAATACTTTTGTATCTTTAGTTTTAAGATGTTGTTCACCTTTCAAGTCCCGTTTACACTAGCGATTTTTGCTGCGATTTTTGTTGCAATTTTCGGAAATATGAAATCTTTTGTCTTATCCATCAAAAGAGACATTCGTCTAGGAAAATCTTTGTATCCTGAATAAATTAAAACTTTACAAGTAAATTCTTTACCATTATTTATTATGGACAAAATCGCAAAAAAATCGCAGCAAAAATCGCCAGTGTAAACGGGACTTGAAAGGTGAACATCATCTTATATTGAGTCTCCAATATACAGATAAAACTAAGATACAAAAGTATTTTGCTATTTTGATTTTTAAACCAGCAGGTTTGTAAAAAGTACGATACGGCGGCCATCTTGTATCGCAAGGCTTTAATATTGGGCGTTCAGGAGGCAAATATAGAGATCATTATTACAGCCAAAGACGGCACATTGATCACCTTTACCAATGAAAGAAACACAAACTCACGAAACTATATATATTACCCGTTTTTATTGTTTGTGTTTGTTTTGGCATCCTGGATAACCCATAATGCCTTGCGATTTAACATGGTCGCCGTATCGTCGTAGTTATTGTCAACATTCGATTATCAGGCGCGCCATCATCGTTCTCTCCTGTGCATCGAGGGTTTTCATCTCCAGTTTTCCTCCCTTGCTCCTTAAAAATTATCTTTTAATGCATATCACTGTTACAAAGTGTCTGTAATAGATAACAGTGTGTCCGTATTCATACTGCCGCACTTTTTCTAGTCTCCCTCGCATCCGTTTTAGTGTCGGTCGTCACGCAACGCTCCATCCCCGACCGACACTAAAAACGGATGCGAGGGAGACTTCACTTTACGCATTATTCAGAGACATTGTGAGGCTTCGTGTATAATGATCAGTGATTCGTGATAAGCTTCGCTTGTCACGCACAAAGGTTTCAATGTGAGGCTTCGTGTATAATGATCAGTGATTCGTGATGTGCTTCGCTTGTCACGCACAAAGGTTTC